CCAATTTTTCTGCCGGCATTATCCGCCAAGCCCTAGTGCGCGTGCGTGCCAAAGATCCTATCTACGAGTTTCACGCACTAAGCGGTCATGAGCTCATTGCAGCTTTTGCCACCAGCTGAGGAAATCCCACAGTTGTCAATGACAGACCTCTGGTCGCATTGGCATGACTCGCTTATCAACACAGCACACTTGTACTGTACTAACTTCGCACCACGACGTACACACCAGACATGCCCAGGTCGGCGACCATGGATGACTCAACAGCTTCTTTGCAGCATTAAACTCAAGCATCAGCTCTACCGTCAGTATCTCAGAACTCGCAGCGCCGAGAACTGGCTCACATTCGTTACTCAACGCAATAGGACCACAACACTACTGAGAGAAGCTAAATCCGCCTTCGTATCCACTACCGCGCAAGGCGACGTAACTGGTGTCCCGCAGCGAAACCTGTACAAGTTAATGAAATCACTGCGGTCGTCCCCGAAAAAGCTGCTTCCACCTATTTCAGCGAACGAGACAGTGGCTAGATCAGATGGAGAAAAGGCGGAAGCGTTTAACAATTTTTTCATTTCGGAAAGCCAGAAGTCCGTCTCCGGACCAACTGAAGAAGGAGCCAATGCTAACGTTAAAATTGTTCATGAACACAAACACCTTGGTGTTATATTCGACAGCCATATGTCCTGGTCCCCACAGGTCCAGTCAGTATGCAAGCGAGCTAGCTCCTCCCTTGGCATGTTGCAACCTCACTGCCACCATTTAAATGACCATTGCCGAAAATTGTTCTTTACGTCGTATATTCTACCTATATTTGATTACTGTGACACAGCGTGGTGCGGTCTGTCTCAGGCCCTTGTTCAAACTCTGGAAATACACCAGCGTCTGCTTCTAAAAATCCTGTTTCGCAAAAATCAAACATTCTCCTCCCAACGTCTCTACAGTTTAGCTTCAGTTTCTCCCCTCTTAGAGCGACACCAGCAACATCTTTGCATCCTTGTACACATGATCTTATTAGACCTGGCTCCAAAACACTTTGCTAAGTATAACTGGTTTGTGTCCACCAGATCAACACGTCATTCCTTCTCATTACCCCGTGCCAATACCTCCCTGTTTCTGAAATCTCCTATCTTCTCTGCGTACACTCTCTGGTCTTCCCTGCCAACTAGCCTTAAAGCATGCACAGACATTAAGGAGTTCAAGCTTCAGCTTCTTCGTCCTAAATAATCTCACCATTTTCGTCATGCCTCCCCTTGCAGTACTCTCTTTGTTTCTCTCCTTATTATTCAGTTCGCCGTGGTTGGCTACCACCCGACTTCTCATATATATTGGCAGTCTTCTGACGAGCCAGGAGATGTTGAATTAATAATAATAATAAGCCGTGCCAGAGATTGGCGTGTCGCGCATCATCGGAAGCGAACTGAAGGAAATCATCACCACCCAGGAGGAGGTCAGAAAACTCCTTTCCGCTCTTGATTTCCGGAAGTCGGCTGGGTACGATGGCATCCCAACGAAATTGCTCAAGATCACTGCAGACGAAATATCGGGCTCCCTCGCAACACTTTTCAACAAGTCCTTCTCGCGAGGCGAGCAGCCACAGGACTGGCGCGACGCCACTATCAGTCCTCTACACAAGAAAGCCTCTCGTGCAGAGGTCACCAATTATAGGCCAATCTCGCTCCTAAGCGTTGTCAGCAAGGTTCAGGAGAGGATTGTTTACCAACGCCTCTATACCCACATTGAGCCCCACCTACCGGCCGACCAATCTGGATTTCGATCTAAGGATAGTACTGAACTACAGCTCTCCCGCCTAGTGCATGAGATTTCCGCCAGCCGAGATTCCGGTCAGGCAGTGTCAGCATGCTTCTTTGACTTATCAAAGGCTTTTGACCGAGTCTGGCATGCTGGCCTCCTGGCCAAACTCGAGCACCTTGGTGTCCGTGGCATTGCCCTTACCTGGCTCACAAGCTAACTGACTCGCCGCCGACAACGCGTCAAGGTTGGCTCCGCTTTGTCATCATGGAAATCCATTCCAGCTGGAGTACCCCAGGGCTCTGTCCTGGGGCCTCTTCTTTTCCTGGTGTACACGATCGACCTCCCCCCAGCATGTACAAACTCTCACACCAAATGCAGCCAGTTCGCCGATGACACGGCACTCATCGCGACGCATTACACGAGGGGTTTGTCAGCTGCATTCCTCCAACGTGCCGTGGACGCAGCAGGGCGATGGTTGAAGGATTGGCATCTCCTCGTCAACACCACGAAAACCGTCGTCCTTTCCTTCCAACCCCAACACACCATCCACATCACGCTCCACTCGACTCGGCTGCAGCAGGTCCACCAACATAGGCACCTTGGTGTTACACTCCAAGACGATTATGCGATGGACCCAACACATCATAGAAACGACCAACAAAGCCAAAAAACTACTACACCAACTCCACAAGACACGTGGCACAATGAACGCTTCCAGCCTATTGTTAATATACACGACCTACATCCGACCCGTTCTCGAATAATTATGGCAGCCTTGCCCTCTCCAACACCACACAGCAACAGCGGGACACACTGGAGAGAATTCAACGCCGTGCTGTACGCATCTGCCTTCGGATTCCCCTCTTTGCACCAGTTCACCACAGCTCCCTCCTCCATCACGCAAAGCTCCCCACCCTTAGCTAACGACTCCTTGTTAAACAAGCCCTACTAGCATAGGACATCCACCACCAAACCTCCCCACCACACCTGCAACAACCACATCTTGCACCACAACGTCAACACCAACCATACACCCTTCGACAGACAAGGACCTACTCCATCGGACACGCACACACGAACAGGCACCGAGATTCCCCCATCAACAGTGCCCTCACCCTCTACAACTCACTCCCTATCGACATCACAACCCAACCTCGTAGAAATTCTTTCCGAAACAATGCATCCAGTCTTCTTTTGAGCAGTACCTGTTCCTGCTCCGCGCATCCCCCTGGTTTCTGATATCTCGAACGTGTACTTAATAAATGTTTTTCATGATCCATTGCTTCTTGCCTCCCGGTTAATTTCCATCTAGCTGTTTCTGGCTAGTACCAGTTCTATCGCACTTATTAATCATCCTTATTGGCGTCACGCCATCGTGGAATAAAAGAATAATAATCAGAAAACTGAATTAGCTCTGCCTCTCGGTATTGAGCACTCTCTTGGACAGCCTGGAACCTCTCTGCAGACTCTGGTTTACTTGTAGATTAGCCCCATCCCTCACACAAACAAGTCAACAAAGAGGCATCTTTGGATTGAGGAGTGCTGGTTTCGAAACAACTGGTTTGAAGCTCAAAGTAGAGCTGGTGTTAGCTCAGAGCAGAGCTGCTGTTAGCTCAGAGCAGAGCTGCTGTTAGCTCAGAGCAGAGCTGCTGTTAGCTCAAAGTAGAGCTGCTGTTAGCTCAAAGTAGAGCTGCGGTTAGCTCAAAGTAGAGCTGCTGTTAGCTCAAAGTAGAGCTGCGGTTAGCTCAAAGTAGAGCTGCTGTTAGCTCAAAGTAGAGCTGCTGTTAGCTCAAAGTAGAGCTGCTGTTAGCTCAAGGTAGAGCTGCTGTTAGCTCAAAGTAGAGCTGCTGTTAGCTCAAAGTAGAGCTGCGGTTAGCTCAAAGTAGAGCTGCGGTTAGCTCAAAGTAGAGCTGCTGTTAGCTCAAAGTAGAGCTGCGGTTAGCTCAAAGTAGAGCTGCTGTTAGCTCAAAGTAGAGCTGCTGTTAGCTCAAAGTAGAGCTGCTGTTAGCTCAAAGTAGAGCTGCTGTTAGCTCAACGTAGAGCTGCAATGCTAAATGGATGTAATATAGCGCAAGGCAGAGCCGCAGCAAATAGCTAGATAACACCAGTTGTGAGAGTGGACCCGATTAGTGGGTACGATAATTATGATGGTGTGAATAAGTTGGATAGGGAGGGATGGTGGGAAAAGAAACACTGCTGAAGCACGATCCGTTGTCTGGAAGAGCACAACAGGGCAAGCAAGATTTGTTTTTCTTTTCCGCAAAATGGGCTGGTGCCATTTGTGATTACGCAGCAAAACAAAGCGCATGACGTCAGTCTTGAATGCAGTACAAAGCAATGCAGTGCAGTGTGTGCGCTAGTTCGGATTGTTGCTAACAAGTACTAGCACAGCTAGTACACCACTACTGCCACTGTACTATTTATAGTGGATCTTTAGTGTATGTCGAGAATTTGCAGTTTACGAAGGTGATGTGATTTAGTCAGTAGCGGCTTTCCATACGTACACAGATACCGTTTGTGTCGGCAGCGGCTTGGTATAGTGGAGTTTTGCCAAGCACATCTAACTAATTGGTGTGATAAAATGTCACCTTCACCTTCTAAGTTCACCCTCTCTGTTATAACAGTACATGCGGTGTCATTATGACTGTTCACTTGCGCGAATTTTACCACCTACTAGTACATCATCTCCGAGGCTGTTGCAGCTTGTACTGGTCAGTATAGTTCTGCATTCCTGCCAACATCAATTTCTTTGATACTTGCCATTTGCCAATTTTATTATTGCCAAGATTGGCTCTTATTTTGATCTTCTTTGAGTGTACGATGCAGTTTCTGAGCCAAGTTTCTTCCTCCTTTTGTCTCGGACATGACGCTGTGCGAACTGCGGACTTGTACTTAGGAGTGCGCTTTATGTTCCTTTTACGGAAAATGGAAAAAACAAGAATGGGCTATGCATTTTTTGGTGGACGGAGACGCATTGGACAGCAGCAATTTCATATTAGGCAGCAGTCGACCTGCCTGTCCTACTGTAGCTGCTTCGGTCGCCTGTACACCACTCGTGTACCGGATAGATGTCAAAGTGCAAAGTTCAAACGGCGATAGACCTATCAGGCCCTATCCTTGCCAATGGTGGCTCCATGCAAAAAAAACTCTCGCTCCTGGGATCCTATCCGGCATTTGGAACGGCATGCGTAGCTTGGTCAAGGAAGAAAAAGGGATCAAATCAGCGCCAACATGATCCCAAAGCGCGTTCTGTGTACAAGTGGAGCTCTCATACGCATCCAGTCCCAAACCTCACATCTCACACTTGTCCAGCCATCTCGGCTTTTACTTTGTTCTAGCCAGCAAGATCAGTACAGAGTCAGAACCAAGTAGGTAGCGAGATCAGCGACAACCGAAGAGTATTGCTCTTATTACTCGAAGAACGTTGCGGAGCTAACACTAATCACGAGAGATCATCTTCTGCTGCGAAGTCTGCTTCCCGAGTCGTATCATATCGTGGAGGTGCTGTTGGCGTTGGTCTCATCATGGCAAGAGCCTCCCAAGTATTGCTGGTGAGTGCGAGCAGTGAAGTAGGAATGACACGAATAGTTGGTATGTTTCTCTACTGAAAACACGTATGAAAGCTCCTTCTGACAGTACAGTGCCTGTCCACCACTGGTCTACGTTGCGAAATTACGTTTCAGCGGATCATGTAGAGTTTTGTACTTGTTCGCGTAGCAAAACCTTTACGAGTAGCGCTTTAGTTAGGTACACTGGATAAGCGGATCTTATTCACTTATGTACCTGTACCCGCGGGCTGTAGTGGAAGGGTCCCCTATGCCAGAAAATACACACAACTGCTGCACATAGCTGCCAAACAATAGCACTTGAAGAAATGCAGCTGCCGCGTAACAAAGACCACTCTGTTCAAAATATGTATTGCGTGTCAGAAGAATCTGAATACAAAGCTCCGCATATTCCATTTTGTCGCTTTTCAGAAAATGACCAGAAAGGAAGTCATTTTTTGTGCACTTTGTATGTAAATAGAAGTAGCTCGCCGTGATGCCGCATATAAAGTCCTGGCTTATTCACGTAGAAGCCGATGTGAGCCCTAGGCTTGTTTTCAACATGGTGGCAGTGTCGTGTTTGGTAGCACTACTGCCAGGCTTTTGTGCCGACATTGCATCTTGAAAATCAGGCTTGCATTCAAAACAGGCTCCCTACCTTTATACAAGGCAGAATAGCTGGTTGAATCTTGGATGTGAAATTTTGCACAGATGAACGAGTGCTTCCTGACCTGTGGATGGCGCTGCACCAAAAATCGGAGCCGAAAACTCTCCACTTCCCAAATAAGGCGCTTGTTGCATTTTCTCTCATCTATATTCGTCACTATTTATCTCTGACCTATCTACACTTGTGGACATAGAAACACAGCGGAATGACTTGGGCAAGCACCCTAAATATGTCGACATCATCACACACCAGTGTGTAGAGAGCTGTCAAACAAGAAAAGCTTAAGTTAAAAATGGCAAATGTGTACCAGGCCTACACATACCCTGTGCACAGATGTTCCATTTTTGGCTGGAGAGTCTATTTCCCGAAACATGACCAGGAATTCCAGTACTGTACATGTATATAGAGTTGGGAATGCAATGAATTGTACATGTATAAGCAGAAATATTCGTCTGGCATCATCTTTTTTCATCTAAGGAGCTTTCGGACTAAATTAAATGCCGGATCTAACGTCGATTTTCTCTGCTTTCAATACGATTCATGGTCCATGGACAAAAATTTCAACCGGACGAACCCCTGTTCTTTGGCTTTGGATGAAATTGTTGACCGACTCAAATGTCTGCTTGCACAGTAATTGCTTTTTGAACCGCATGCGCGCACACGGCTGCAAGGCCAGCGTCTCAGGTCGCGTACATTATGTCTCAGGTGTCAAAGTCCACAACTTGGCACGTATGCATGGATGTGTAGAAGGGAAGTCGCCCGCACCAGTGCAGGAATTCGTCACCCCAAGAATAGGAAGGAAGGTGCTGGAATCTCGGAAGAAAGAGCACCACGAGGTTGAAGTGGCGCCCCATGCTACTGTTGTCACATTCATTCTACCAGTGCAGTACACATACTGCAACATTCATTCTACCAGTGCAGTACACATACTGCAACATTCATTCTACCAGTGTAGTACACATACTGCAACATTCATTCTACCAGTGTAGTACACATACTGCAACATTCATTCTACCAGTGCAGTACACATACTGCAAAGCAGCTGCGCGCGCTGAAAAGTGAACTTTATACTACGGTGAAAGGGTGGTCGTTAAACTGACACCTGGAGCGGCGTAATAGTCTCAAACTGAGAGCCCGAAGCTGAAAATCCGATTCACGTAAAAATCCTCTGAAGAAGCCTGCCGGAAACATGACCGTCGCCACAAGGACTCGAGCCTGGGAAAAGCACCTTTTTTGATTTTTCATCATCACTCTTGCGTCATTCTAATTCAATGTTGATTTTATGCTGCTCTTTGGCGAGACAGTCAAGCTCGTGAAGAACGACCTCGGGTAGAACAATAACGTGTCAATACCGGCACATTCTTCTGGCCAAGTTACCATTAAAATACTGAATGCTTTCAACGGTACGGATAAAAAAACAACTAGAGAGCAATTGCACTCTGCTCATGCTCGATTGAGGGTTTTTTTGTTTTTGTTTTTTTGTTCACACGGTTGACTGTTCTTGTACCTTAACCCTTTACTGTCCGATTAAAATGTATACAAGCCCACGCAACCACAAAATCTGAAACTAAAATTAGACGTAACTTTGGTTTGAATTTGACGATTTCCTCGATCTTGGGCATCCTGGAAAGGTCTTGACGAGACGAACGCAATGAGCCCACACTCGGCGCCACAGGATGCACTGGTCCAGCGCTGCAAGCCAGGGAACGCGCAAAAGCGCTGAGCTCACGCTCGAGATCGATCTCAATCCACCATGTCACCCCTGTTGCTCGTATCGAGCTCAAATACTTTCGTAGAGACTCCCGGGAACCTACTTTTGAATTTGAATCAGTGTAGCCTTGCCAACAGGTGACGTAAACAGGGAAAATCCCAGCCGTCGACATGCGCGTCGCGCTCCGAACGCACATTTCCCGGGACCAGAATTACGAGTGCGATAACTCCGCAACCGCTCTTCGTATCGCTTCGGGGATTGTTCGAGGCGACAGCTGAGACTTTTCTCTTCGCCCTACATATTTCGATCTCTCCAAAAGACCTAGATTTGAGCAAGTTACGATAATTTCAAAATGCCTACCCCATCGATCCCATTGGATCGATGCTTGTATGTACGGACAGTAAAGGGTTAAAAGCCTGTGTATATGCCCAGTCGAAAATACGCCCACCCACCCAATACACTGCTATCCCTATTCCAAGTATACGCCCACCCACCCAATACACTGCTATCCCTATTCCAAGTATACGCCCACCCACCCAATACACTGCTATCCCTATTCCAAGTATACGCCCGGTTCCAAAATAACGCCCGTGCCCTTGTATACGCCCAGGAAATCGAGGCTGCTATTCTATACGCCCGGGGGCCTATACACGGGCTTTTACGGTAGTTTTTGTATTCACAGGTTTCAACAAGCTAGTACGGAGGCACTGTGAGAAGATGTTGGGTCGAACAATTTTAGTTCTTCGTGTTCATTGTCTCCATGATAATGAAGTGAGTGAATTTTTTCTTCTTCTGTTCTTTCCAAAACTCTCGTTTCTGTTCAGCTGACAAGCACTCTCATGCTGACATGCTGGACTGGTTTGAGCATGGCATTCAGCACAGGCGCTCCGGCTAGCACTTGCTCAAGCATGGCCCCCTCGCACGGCAGTAGTAAATCCCAGGCGGGTAGCCAAGGGTGCATGCTCGCTTTCTCTGGCAGCGTGCAGGAAGGACGGTCTCAGACATGTACGTGCCTGTGTTTTTGTTGCCTCTTTGGTCTGTGTTCCTGTAGCGTAAAGCAGGTTGAAGTGTCACAGACAAAAGTTCGTTAAGTTGAAATATATAAAAAGTAAAAAGGACCAAGGAACTACAAGTTACACTATAATGTCCACTAACACCACCAGTTACTATATATTCAGCTCATTCAGCTCATGGTTGTAGTTCCTTGGTCCATTTTACTTTTTTATAATCCTTGGCTCTCCATCCAAGTAGAAATTTGATGTTTAATAGGTGCATGTAGAAAGCGAAAGGGATTAACTAATGTGTGTGTGTGTGTGTGTGTGTGTGTGTGTGTGTGTGTGTGTGTGTGTGTGTCCCTTGTGTTTGAAGGGGACGGTTGCACTTTTTGTAGCTCCGATTTATCTGAGTTTTTCCGTCGTTCTTCTTACTAGTCTTAGGCCACGGGGTGGCTCTGGGTTCACCAGAGTCGCCCCTGGCGTGTTCCTAAATTTCCTGGGGCGAGGGTTCCGCGGCGCGGTCGCCAGGGCAGTTTCTTTTCTGTCACGACCGTTGTCGTCCTCGTCTCTCCATTCGCGGTGGTGTAGCTGACCCCCGAATGGTTCCAAACTGCGAAGCTCAGAGAGTACTGTCAGGAAGGCGGAGGAGAGGAAGGCTGCGAACATTGGCCTTTGGATCTTGGAACGTCCGCACTCTGGTCAACAATGACGGACCGGTCGAGACGGCAAAGAGACGAGTGAATTTTGAAAATTTGAATTTTGTGCCCGTCGTGGAGGACAGAAAGATCGACTTGGTTATCCGTGAGCTGTCCAGGTTTGACGTGGAAGTGGCTGGCCTGCAGGAAACCAAATGGTTTGGGAGAGACTCTTTCAACATCGGCGATGCGACTGTACTCGCCTCTGGTCGCCCCGTACCTGACGAAAATTTTCGTCGTGGCGAGGGTGTTGCGCTGGTTCTGCGTCGGAGGGCCAAGCAGGCATTTGAACGTGCAGGCTGCCAGTGGAGGCCCGTCTCGTCGCGCATCGTGACGGCCAGGTTGAGATTTGAGCACGGGTGGATGTCAGTGATTTCATGTTACGCTCCTACGTTTCGATCCCCCCATGCTGACAAGGAAGAGTTCTTTGCTCAGTTCCAGTCTGCTCTCAGCGATGTCAACTCTGCTGATGACGTCATCGTCCTGGGGGATTTCAACGCTCGTGTTGGTTTTGGCCCACAGCAACTAGAGATGTGGCAGGGAGTGCATGGATCACATGGTGTTGGTGATGTGAACGATGCTGGTCATCGACTACTCACATTCTTGGCGTGTCAACAGCTCACAGTATGTAACACACTGTTTCCCAAGAAACGCATTCACATGTACACCTGGCAACACCCTGGTTCACAGAAGTGGCATTGTATAGATTATGTGTTCGTACGCCAACAACACCGTAAACGTTGCATGGACTGTCAAGTGATGCGCACTGCAGAGTGTAGCACAGACCACCGTCGTGTCCGCATGAAATACCGGCTACCTGACGTTGTGCAGCAACGGTACCATCATGATGCACGTTCCAGGCCGCGGAAGTTTGCTGTTCACCAATTCAATCGGAAGCCATTCATGAGTGAAGAGGAGGCTGAGCGTGTGGCTACTGTACGTGCTGAGTACTGTGCTAGTCTTGAATCTCGTTTAGCCACGTATGACCGCGCCTCGTCTGTGGACTGTAAGTGGAGTACCGTGAAGTCGGCTGTTGTTGACGCGGCGGAGCAGGTGGTTGGTCGGGACAAGCGGCGGATGCCAGATTGGTTCCATGACAATGCCCTTGTATTGGAGCCTCTACTGGAGTCTCGTAATACCCTGTATAGCCAATGGCTGAGAAGCGGCAGGGACTCTGATCACCGGGCGTTCAAAGAAGCGCGTGGCCGGGCTCGTACTGGTATCCGGAAGGCAAAAACAACTTGGTTGATGGACAAAGCGGCGGTGGTGCACCGTGGACGTTTCAGTGGCAAAGCTGTCTGGTCTGC